TCGTCGTAGTAGCAGCAGCAGCAGCGAGAGAGAGAGAGAGAGAGAGAGAGAGAGAGATAGAGGGAGCAATGCACTCGCTGCCAGCATGAGTGGTGAAGTTGCCCTGTAGGCCTTGACCTCCCGGAGACATAGTGGGCAGACCTGGCAATTCTGCTTGGAATCGGAAGCGGATCAGAAAGACGGCTTGCAGCAGCCTAGGTTGCTTTGACACAGTACTTGTGTAACCTGGCTGATCTGCACAACCCACTCAGTGTTGGAAACAGTGAAACAAGCTGGCATCCTGACTCTACAATGCTCTACAATCTACAAACCCTGACCTGAAGCCCTCTCTGCAAACCTCTCATCTGAGGCTTGGAAGCTTGCCTGGTTCCGTCGGAGCCATCGATCGATGCAGCTTTGATGGAAAACGTGATTGCAAGGCAGGCGACGCACTAGGTCCTTTCCTTGCCGGGCGCAGGAGGTATGAACTCGAGACGTCGAGAGCGAGGTTGCACTTCTTGGTTCCAGGAACAGCGTGGTTCCAGAAATTTCGTGAGTTCGGATGCTTTGAAAGGCCTTGTAGATGATCTTCAACGCTATGCCCGCATCTTTGGTCTGTGCTGTAGTGTGATTGTGCGACGGTATCCTGCCTCATACAGTAGCTCACCACTCGTGACTGTGTTGTGCTGTACTATCTGCACCATCCGCAGCACCCGACCAGGGCCTCGACAAAATCAGCCCATGCATTGCATGTGGAGTACAAGGCTGTGGGTTCAGGATTTAGGCCCATGTGGGCACTTCGCTCAGCACAGGACGACAGCTCGAACTGTCCCAGCAAAATGAAGCAGCATTTTGATATGATGCTAACCAGTATGCGATCGGCAGATGAGACAGTACAAGCTCTTCAATACCCGGAGAGAGATTCCGCCCAAGCAGAGGTTCCTCTAAACTTCGGAACAAGCGGCGCTCGAAGTCACAAAGACAAACTGCGCAGCTGCTCTCCCGCCGCCGCTCGCCTGCCTGGCGGCGGTGATGGATCTCAGCCGTCGCTGCCTGGGAAAGGGGCCGAGCGTATCTGATCCCGCTGACAGGACTAGGGCAAATTGTGGAATACACCTGCTCAAGTTCCATATAATGAACAGAGGAGCAAGCCGAACAGAAAAGCAGCGAAGTGAAATAGATCATAACACAGTAAGCATGGACCAGTTGAACCATGAATCTGAGAGCCGCGCGCTGCAATCATCCTCCTGGCCGGCCGGCTCCTGAAGAATTGCGAAGTTGGACGTTTCCAGCCATCCTCCTTATCGACCTCCTCGTCATGATTGTGAGCCACCATCAGCGGCATCAACCAAAGTGTTCATTGTCGTCACCGAAACGCGCATCGTCATCCTGACGATTAGGCAACACGACGGGCGCCGTCGCCGTCCTCAGCATCACCGCCATTAGTATCACCATGTTTTTCAACAGATGTTCTCGGAGTGGTACACGTGCTAGTTTAGGCATTGCTGTAACTTCCGTGTCCCAGCCCTGCAGAGCGGCACTTTGACTGCAAGTGCCTGCATGTCTCTTGGGGAAGCTACGGTCATAAACCCTAAACCCTAAAGATCCCTAAAGCCTAAGTAGGGGGTGCCGAAGAACCGAAGGACAGACATTGCCGGAAGTCCTCTGAGCCAAACTCGTGCACGGGCAGGGCATCAATGAGTTCCTCTTGGGTCAAAAGCCGCTTCAAAGCCGGTCGTGTACGCGATGACGGGGGAACATCAACAGTCACAGTCTTGAAAATTACCAATGGTACTGACAGCTGGAGAGAAAACTGAGAACACACGTATGGTCAAGAACGGAAAGAGGCATTACACCAAAAAATGGCATTGGCAGTAGATACAAGAGCCACCAACGCCACCACAGCCACCATCAAGAAGAAGAAGAAGAACAATCATAAGAATGCTATCAACATTCATTCTTGGCGTCTGTACAGCACAAACAATCTTTGCCCTGGCAACAATTCTGTAATACCCGCAATGGGACTCTCTTGCAGAGACTCTGCTGCTGTCGAGACCGACTCAGAAGTGATCAGGAATAGGGGTTTTTGGGTCAACTATAGCATAATTATATGGGGACGACAACGGACGACGACGACGACTACTACTACGACGACGACTACGACTACTACTACTAAGACAAACAATAATCCTGATCATCCTCACCATCATGATTGCTTTTGGCGTTGTGATTTTCCTAGACTTGGTGGTGTTGCCAAAGGAGATGCACTTCATATACGGAATACACATGCAAAGGAAAAACAAAAACAAAAACAAAAAAAAAATATTATATATATATATATATATGTGTGTGCATGCCGCCTATGCCGGTTTGCTTCATCTCTGAAGACAAACTGCGGCAAGAAAACAAATAAGTCAACCGAACTGTGCGCACCGAGCACTTGCCGAAGCCCTGAAGACGCTTGCAGTCTGCTCTATCCCGCCTGCGGGGCTCCCCGCGGTTTGTGCTGCGTGGATGCCTGGCGCCATAAAGCTTTGGGGAGGCCCGGAGTTGCTGAAAAGCTTTAGAACTCTTGACGATTCTTGATGGCTCGCCGGCACCTCCCCTCTCACTGGAAAGCATCGATTGAAGACTACCTCAGCGGGCTTGCATCCATCATGCGAAGACGCAAGTTGCCGTCCGCTTCGCACAGCCCATCATCCGTGTGAAGACCCTGCGACGCAAACTCCACGCGGCCTCTGTTCGAGAAACAGTCCCGGTACTGAGGTCACTGAGGTCAGCTCTAGGTCTTAGGCATTCCCAAGCTCAGATGTTGGACCTAGGACTCATCTGCACCACAAGGCGCCAGGGTTATGAGCAGCTTCAAGAAGGAGAAGACGACCACCATAAGGGACAACCTGCCAGCACCTACTTGACTGCTTCTTGCTCAGATGCCCTGCAGCAATCAGAAATGGCAAGTTGGACCCTACCTTTATGGCCACGCTCACCTGAGCGAGCTGTCGCGGATGCATAAACACAGCGTAATGGGCCAATCTGGTGAACTGGGAATGGAAAATCGCGGCTGGGTCCATCACAAAGCATTCATCAAGCACATGGCAGATATCATGCCTTTACAGTAACCCCTGTAATAGTGCTTCTAGCACCCCGTACCCTGTATAGCAACAGCAACCCTATACTTCCCTTTTCATGAATTCTCATGAGCCTCTGCCTCTTTTAAGGCTCTGGGTCCTCCTATCGCTGCGATGCGAGTCTCCAGATCCTTTCAGTCCCCTGCTGCACCTGTTTTGACACATGCATCAGGGAGTTCAGATCCTGTCGAAAAGCCCAAGAGCCCAATAGCCCTTGATGAGGGAATGCATTTTGAATGACATTGAAGGACACACCGTAGATCATGGCGGGGATCCCTCTATGATTCAAGCCACGTGGTCTGTTGATACTCGGCTGGTTCCACCGAGTGTTGTAGCTGCAAAGAAGCTGTGAGAAGAGTGGGATCGTAGAAAAGATCTCCCAAACCTTGCACCTGCTTACGGAAAACTCTGACCCTTGTAGAACCGTATGTACAGCCTCCCAACTAAGCCCTTTCCGTCAACGTCCTGTAGAGCCAAGGGCAAGGTTCGCAGTAGCTGGAGTTCAGCAGCCACACCACCTTGTTAGCTGGTGGATTTAGAGGTCAAGGACTTTGGATTTAAGACATTAGGGCTGAGGGATTTAGGATTCGGGGCTTCAGGCTCTGCAACATCGGGAACTAAGGGCTTTGTCATGGCTCCCTTCTGCGAAACCAAACCCGGATCGCCTCGGAGAGTAGTGGCGGTGGCAGATCGAGCTAAAAATCCAATATGCGCCGTGATCGGAATCTGAAACCCCGACACTGTCTCCGTCGGAATCCCTCAAGCACACGCTTGCACAGCTTTGACGGAGGTGTCAGATACGCAGTGACTGGACATGTGCCCTCAAGACGTTGAACATGCGCACGAAGACTGGACAGTACCTGCCGGAGCAAATCCCAGGAGTCCGAGAATCGAAGAACGTGGTGTCAATACAATTGGTACCAGGTATGATTGCAGTCTTCACTGAGCCGATGTTCAGGCTTAATCATGTTGGAAACCCTGAAACTGGTATTGAAAAATCATGTTCGCTGTTGAAAGCGGCCCAGTGGCCCCCAGCACGAACCACGCATAGCTCGTTATTGACACTGCCTGGCCAAAATCTCACGCTCACTTCGCACAGCACCGTGGGCAACCGCTACCTCTTCATAGGGCACTAGGATGCGGCCAGGCGCGAAGGCTTGTAAATACATAGGTACATCTGCAAACACAGAGGTGCATTCTGGCAGCAATCACTGGGGTGACCCAAAAAAGGCACATATACGAAACCATAAGTTTGGGATTTCCCATAATCCCCTCTTTGAGTAAGCCAACAAGGTTGGGATAAGCTTGGGTGCTTTTGTGGCTCCTGATTACTCACATCGCAACTCGTTACAACATGCCAACATGCAGACCACGGCTGATGAGATAAATCCTGCATTTTCCATAAACAGGAATATAATTCCCATAGCTTAGGGTCCTTAATGTAAGCTCTGAAGGCCACACAGCAAACCTTGCAACACAGCACGTCACGAGTTTGTTGCAAGCAGTCAACAGTGGCCCACCTTGCTAGTTCTCCAAGCAGGTGCTTGGGTAAGCTGACGGACACACTCCTGACAGCTTGGCAAAGCAAGGTCCCTGCACCTCGACCAATTCCAGGAAATCCCCCGGATCCGGTTGGCGATGTGTATATACGCAAGGAAAGTTATGCACATGCGTCTATGCCTATGCATGTAAATATATCTGTCTCTGCTTTTCTCTTTCTCTCTCTTTCTCTCTCTCTCTCTCTCTCTCTCTCTCTCTCTCTGTCTGCCTGTCTGCCTGCCTGGCTGGATCGCTGTCTGTCTACCTCTATCTGTGTATCTATCTAGCTATTGACATATCTACCCAGCTGTCGATCCATCCATCCATCTGTCTGCCTCTCTCTCCTGGCGGAAGCAGCGGTCCAACTGCGCTCGCTCTCTCTCTCTCTCTCTCTGTCTCTGTCTCTCTCCCTCCCTCCCTCTTTTAAATGTGTTTGTAGTGATGTGCTTTGCTCCACACAAAGATATTATTATCATAGCAGTCATAGCAGTATGACGATCACTCTCCGTCCTGGAGGTCTCCGTTCAGTCGCTGAATTTCCTTGGCTGGAGCTTGAACTTCTCAAACAAACTCAGACTCGACTCGCTGCTACAAAAGCGGTTGTAACGCATCCCTCTTGAGTGGCGCAAGCAACATACTGAAGCTCCTTCATGGTGATCTAGCGCTCCGACTCTAAGTTCTAACTCAATTCAAGCTTCCCGCACTCTGTAGTAGAAGACCATGCGAACCGGGGCTTGCAGGAGCTGTAGGATGCAGTGCAACGCAAGCCTGGGGAGAAGGCGAAGTCAGACTTTTCTCGGGTTTAGGGATTTTAGGGGTTTAGGGTTTAGGGCCTTAGGGTTTAGGGTTAGGGTTTAGGGTTTAGGGTTCAGGGCTCGGAGTAGAGAGAAAGCAGTTCATGGCATGGAGTAGACATCTTTTGGCCACGACCCCATCGAAGACACAACCGATGACATCTCAGACGAGCAAATTACAACGCAAGCCTGTGCTGCTGTAAGTATATCCAGCTCATCGATTCTACAGTAGGGTTTATGCTGTCGAGCTACCTCTATGACCCGAAAACTCGTAAACACAGCTGCGAAAAAATAAAAAAACAAGGTGTCACGGCCATGTGACTGTGGGACGGTGCACGAAGGTTGCACCGATCGGTGCTGCGTATCGATCGTTGGACTTTGACACCTGCACCCCTAGGCCCTTAATGTAGCTACCCCACTCGGCCACCGCCTCAATTCCGGAAGAATCGCCGCGAAACCTTTGGGAAAAATGCCTCTGAATGCCTGAGGCCCTTGCCAACATCGCAGTGGTCGGTTGCAGAGCCTGTCCGATTCAGCTGAGACTTAGAAATTCGTTGGGAATGTCTTCGGGCGCAATACTCGTTGCAGTCTCTTCGGCGTCTCGAAGCACTGCCAGGATCTGAAACCCTCCACTTGTGCCTGCAGGGGCTCCAGTACACCATCAAGAAGAGGCAACAAGGGAAAACGGTCACCTCAGAAAGCATCTTGCTCCACTCCGGACGTTCAGGACATGTCGGGAACCTGGACCGAACCACTTCTCGTACGCAAGATGCCAAAGCCCGACACCCCAAAGCACCAAAACCCTACTCCGATTTTTCAAGGGCCCCGCCAGGCTCGAGACGCTGCCGTAAAACATCACGACCTCCCAAAGCTCCGGTAGCCGGTGCTGCGAAAATCCCACTCGAGCTTGATCATCAGAATTCGCAGGATCAGAAGCAACTCTTGAAGGGGCTTCTGCAGGTCCGCAGGTCTGTTTTGGACTTAAAGGCTCTGGCTTCCTTCTCCGAACTCAGGCTTGGGCTTCCTGTCAGACTCCTAGCTTCTATGCACTCCTTGGAGTCCTTCTGTGTGGTCCATGGGCGCAAGCTTTCCGAAGCTACACGCGCTGAGGGCCTCTGTATGCCTCTGTGCTCGAAACCTGCAACTCCATGAGTTGGACTGAACTGTACATCATAACGGTAGCAACACTAAAATTAACAACAATACTAACCACAATCATGATGATAGTGACAATGGCTCAATCACCCGCGCGCCTTGATGAACCATGCCGCCTGAGGTCGCGAAGTGCGAAAATTGAGCACGGAAGTAGACTCAAGAGCCATGTGTCGGACTGCGGCCTCCGCAGGGTACTGCTGAACAACGTCCAGGAGAGGCTCTGGGTTATCTTCCGCCTGACACCGGCCCGCTCTCGCACGCACAAGCCTGCATCATGAAGGCCGTATCTATATATCTAAATATTCATAGCTAGAGGTATCTAAATACCCAAATATCTATATATCCATATATCTGTCTACAAACATATACACCTATGTATCTAGGTATGTATATATATATATGTTTTATAAACACTGCAAGGAGTGATTGGATCCGGAATAGCCTCGACGTCAGCGTAATGTCTGCTGCAATCTACATACATATACACCATGATATAAACAGTAACGATAAAATCACTATAAATCGCTATTTTTAAATGGAAAACACAGACCTGTATTCCGACGCATTCTCAGAAAGCATCACACTCCAGGCTCCAGAAATATATATATATATAATTTCAGTCAAGAGCGGTCGCTAACGTTCGAACACTCACGGAGCAGCAGGCGGTGACTCTTCTCTCGCGGCCGCGACATGGGATTGGCCACACGGAATATGATCACTCTCGGGTCCAAAGAGATATGACCACGATCGGATCCAAAGATCACCAAATCTTCCGCCCAACTGTCCGTGCGAACATTCGTTCATCGACCTGGCGCGATCGAGCACCAAGCTTACGCACAACGTCCACGCACTTCCCAGGCCCTACATCCCGATAGGGAAGGTGAGCTGCTGGTGGATCCATGCTCCAGTGGACCCACGGCCAAATCACCCCAAAAGGCAGATCAGCCAGGTCGAAGCCGGTTGTGACACGATCGGTGCATTCCACGCAGTGCAAGATTCCGAACAGCTCATGGCTCTTGATCGAGAGACGCCTCCGGATCACAGAAAGGCAGACGCCAAGATCTTCAGGCGACCTCTGTATCATCACGCAAGTTTGCCGGAGCTTCTAGTACCAGAACTGAGCATACAGCCATGTCAGACTGAAGTCAGCTCACTGTGGGTAGGTTGGTAGGTGGATAGGTGGGTAGGTGGGGGGGGGGGGGGGGGNNGGTCGAGGTCGAGGTCGAGGTAGAGGCAGAGGCAGAGGCAGATATGTGTATACACACACACACATATATATATATATACATACATAAAGATGTAGACGTATATGAATATGTGTATGTGTATGTGTATGTATGCATGTATACGTATGCATGTATACGTATGCATGTATGTATGTATGTATGTATCTGTGTACGTACGTATGTATGTATGTATGTATGTATGTATGTGTGTATGTATGTGTGTATGTATGTGTGTATGTATGTCTGTATGTGTGTATGTATGTATGCATGTATGTATGTATGTATGAATGTATGTTTCGATGCGGGTATGTATGTATGTATGTATGTATGTATGTGTGTGTGTATGTATGTATGTATGTATGTATGTATGTATGTATGTATGTATGTGTGTGTATGTATGTATGTGTGTAGGTATGTATGTATGTATGTATGTATGTATGTACGTATGTATGTATATATGTATGTATGTATATATGTGGGTATGTACGTACGTATGTATGTATATATGTATGTATGTATATATGTGGGTATGTATGTAGCTATGTATGTA